TTCCCGCTATGCAACGCGGATAATAACGATCATCCAAAGCGAATCGATCGGCCAACAATTCTTAAAAGCGGAACCATAAAGTAGGTTCATTTCTCGACCACACGCGGTTACCAATGTTACATGGGCGCTATTACTATCATTTAAGGAACGTGTATCGCGCGGTGTCACGTAACGTTACTCTGAATAAGTTAATAACCCACAAAGTCCGAGACAGAGACACGAAGCGGTCTGTTCCTGACTCCGACTCGCCTCTCAATTGGGATAGAAGATTTAAAGCGTTCCGTTCGATACCGGACAGCCGGAGAAATATGCTTTGGTCGGGCTCCGCTTGCTCAATCGCCACGCGAAATAATCGTAGAACGATCTATGCATTCTTTTTTTCAGCGGCACACCGCGCCGCAGCCAAGAACGGCAATTGGCCACGAATTCTTTCAATGCGTGTCCATGCTGGCCCTGATGCAATTGTCCGACGCGGAGAGCGCGCCGTCGGAGGACAAGAAAAATGTTGCCAATTAGGAGAAAACGGACCTTAACACGCCCCTCCGTTCCGAATACGCACCTGTGCGCCCTGAACGTTGCCTCATTGTCCGCCGACAGGCTCGACGCGACCCGGACGAAGAAGAAGCTGCCCGAAGAAGCCCTGATGCCGAACAATGAAACACTTTTGTCCTATTACCGAACCGTCCAACCTTTCCATCGTATTTCAATCGTGATTTTTCTTATCAGAAATATAATTAAACTAGAACAATTTTATCCAAAGATAAGAGACTGGCGCCAGTTTACGAGTACTCTTCCAATTACGCGTCGAAACGTCGACGAAGTTCCCCGAGGAACATTCGCAAGCTTCTTTCTCGAATAACCAAACAGATGAAGGACAGAAGTGGTAGTCGAAGAGTAGTTGGCCGTGGATAAAATAGGAACAGAGTGATTATAGATTACAACGCGATACCGGGTGGCGAATAAATAACTGTATTACCGAGGGAAGAGCGTGGAGGACAGATAAGATCCAGGAGCGAGAACAGCAGCAGCAACCCCCTTTCGGGGATTACCCGATAAAGCGGCACGCATCAACGCGCATATTTCTATAATTATTGCCGGCGCCCTTTGATCTACCTTAAACCGACGGTGGCCGCGACGCGGTCCATGCCCTCTCGCCTCCTCCACCCCGTGCAATGGCGCGCGTCCCTGAATCCACGTTTCTCGCTGAAAAGGCGAACCCGTATCACAGCGCGAGACGCGGCTCGCGTCCGATCGGCAACGCGCTGATAACGAGATTCCGAGCCGACTTCACAGGACCGCTCGACAATGAAATATAAGCGAACATCGGACTACCGGGCGGAATTTATCATTTCTTCGACTTTTTCGTTAGCAAGGATGATTTAAACGCTTGATTTCTTTGCTTTGAGAAGAATAAGAAGATTGAAAAAGGGAATTGGCCAGCTCGCAATAAATAACCTTCGTATCGGTAATTAAGCGGAATTCGAAGGGACCGTCGCCGAGTGGCAAAGGGGTTGGACGTCATTAGGGGTACGATGGTGATTAGGTGAGCGTCTACCACTTCTGTTCGGTAGAGAACGGTAGCAGGATTCACCTGCTCCCGATGGAACAGCTGCTACCGATTCGTACGCGTGCTTCGAACACCGTACCCTGGCCACGGTGTTAATTGCCCGTTCGCGCAAACCGCGCCTAAAATCCTACCCAACCGTGACCTATTATGTCCGCGAATTAATCGACCTGTTTCACTTATAACGTCCGGCAACAGAGTTATAAAACGTTGCACGTAATGGTATATTAAATAAAATTGCATCGGGGAGAAAAAAAGTAAAACGAGATAAGAAATTGCAGAAGAAGGAAACGCAACTTAACGATCGGTCCAAGTTGCTCAACGACATTCAAACGCTTCAATTAATCGACCAATAACGATGAATGATTATATGCTTATACATCGCGCGTTTGAGTAAGCGCCACGCCTATCTATAATTACAGAATTCACCTTCTTTCCTCGCCTTTTCTGCGGAAAGAAGTCGTTTCGAAGAACGGACTCACCAATTTCTTCTCCTCAACATCCGCGCGACTGTCGATGGGTCTTTTTTTACTCAGCAATCAATTTTCAACACGACATGCTATAATTGTAATTATTTAGAATACGATCGTTTCATTTCTCAAATTAAACTTTCCGCTCGTTATTTTCTAAAACTAATACCGAATGTTTTTACACTCGCGTATATCGCGAGTCTATCGAACGCACTTTGCCGCACGAAATGTGTATGCAGGTCTTTTGCATGCACGCGAGTATCATTAAAGCGTCATTTCGAAGCCACTCTATAAATATTGCTCGATTCCTGCTGGCGAGTCATCGTAGGGGCAGTTGCAGGCTTGCAAGGATGAAGTTCAATGTAGGTCACAGCTGTAGAAAGTCTATTTTTCCATTCAATTATAAGAAATTGAAATTACAAGTTGTCAAGTTACATTACACTCAATTCGCCTAAGGGATTTCTACATATTTAAACAAAGGACAATGCCGAGTTCCGCGTAACTGCGGACAGTCTCGCAGCAATTTCTATGGTTCACATTGAGACAACGTTGACCCGATAAATTCCACGTGCGTTTGCAGTGTCGGTAGCTGTGCCTTCGTCCTACATGCGAATGCCAGCCGCGAATATATATTCGTTCGGTGTATGGTGAACTCTTTAATTTTAATCGGTGGAACATTGTACCGGACAGGTACGGTGTGCGCGGAATAAGAGATCTAGCCGACGGTCGTAAATACGTCGTGCAATATCGAGCAGACAATCTGGACAGATATTAGAGTATCGTTAAATACGTTTTCTCGTTAATTCACCTAGCACTAGGATCTCTAAGAAATATTATGCTAAACCAAGGATTAAATATTATCTTTACTTGTTTCATACGTCCGGGAAATATTCATGGTTCTTAAATCGCGAAGTGTTAACACGTTCGAGAAACGAGGAATACGAAGGAATAAACCAGCAAGACTCGAACTGAATCCGTTAGCCAGGATTTAATAAAACTAGAAACGTATGGAAAGCGAACGGTTGAAAGGTGAAAGAGATCGAGCCGCGACGTATCGAGAAATCACGTTCTCGAACGGACAGCCGTGCCGTGCCGTTCGATGGAAAAGAAATAATCGAGAACGATGCTAATAAGAGAGGAACGAGTGGTTAGATTCTACACTTGTCGATTTATCCAGTTGCCGCAAGCCTTCCAGGTCGTTAATGCAGGTGTATAACGGCGCTAACAACGTCGGCGGCAAACGGATAAATAAAGAAGACGAAGAAGAAGAAGAAAATAAAAACACAAAACAAATCGATTACCTTCGACCCTGAATAAAAAAGAACACGTTGGTTGCGCAACGCGGCTGGAATCGTGGCGTCCGGCATAATCGAAACGCATAGGCTCGACGAGTGTTGCCCGATCTTTTGCCTCACAATTAATCCAACCATTTATATACACGATCGACAGCGGTACACAGTCGCGGTCGACTGGAGAAATTGATTTTTTTCCGTTTCAACCGAGTCGCGGGGCCGATGGAACGAAACCTCATATGCATACACGCGTGAAACGAAAACCGATCGCGAGATTCTCAACAGCGTATCGAACCTATGACCCGAGATCGATTAATCACATTCCCTCCGGGCCCTCGGGCTTTATGAATTCCCTCGATGCGCGTCGATTCTCCGACAAGCTCTATTCGACAGGCTGGCCTGTCAATTAAAAAACTCGCGATGGAAAGAGTCGACCGACTACGTTCAACTAATTCCGTTATTTTCTTCGGCTTAGAACCTAACAGCTCATTACCCGTTGTAATGAACGCCACCAGTACGTCGTTACAACGTCGATTTGTCGTGAAAATCATGTCCCCTCGATCGCCTCGCGTCTGATCTTTCAAAAAAAGAAACAACTTCCTGCTATCCAGACAGGTATACAACTTCCGTTCTATTTCTCCAAGTACACTCGATACGTTATTCTATCGACTCGATAGGATTCTCGAGAAATGGGTCCGCACCTGTGGAAGAATATCAGGTACGTCCCATTAAAGAGACGCCTATTTTCAAAGAGACGAACCGAAATTATTCGACGTACGCCCACGCATCCGGAGCCCAACCAGTCCTATTTAGATAATCCTGTTCAAAATACTATGCTTTACGAGAAGTTTCTCACGGTAAAACTGGGTTCAGCTCTGTAACACCCTGTTTCAGAGGGCTAGATAGTGATTAACTGTTGGAGCTGTCTGGTAATTATGCTCGTTGAATAGAGAACAGAAGAGCACCGCGTCAAACATCTGACGGAAAATAGTCGGTTCTTTTGTTTGATAGAGAATTGAAGGTTCCTTCTGTCGATCAAAAGATGTTGCGTCTTCTATTTCGGTAATATAACCCTCCTGACGGGAATTTGAAACGTATAGAGTAAGAATCAATGATTTTCCACGAAGCTCGCGGATGAATTAAAGGCGATCGCGAGAGGGGGTTGTTTCCGTCCGAACCGGGCCTAATAAATCGGTAAGGTTAAGACGCAGGTGTGAAGGGCAGACGCCCCCCCGTCGACCGTGAATTCGTGAGTTTCGTCGCAAAAATCAGCATTAGTTCCACCAGCGTTCATCTCTTTCACCCTTCCCTATCTTTTCTCTGTCCTCCGGTTCACGCGTCAGCCCTGACGACGACCTCGTCGCTCGTAATTCGCTCCGAGATACCGGTCCTTGGCCGGAATTCCGGGAAATTATTATGGATCTTTATCTTTGGATCTTATACGCTACATTTAATATTCATCGCCGGTATGCAGCCTACTCTCGGGGCTCGCGATTAATTGCAACAGTCAACCGGCACTCTAATGACAACATCGGCGACTATCGTAATCGCATTTTCGCTTGTTCAAAACGAATCGAGTACCGTAATCGATCGTTCGAATGATCGACGTTTCATCGTATGATAAAAATTGATCTCTCTACGATCGAATAGAAAGAAAAACATCATTGGACTCACCGTTTCGATGATGCGTAGCGTTTAGCGAGATAGATCAGCTCACAGCCGTTAAGCTGGTCGTCTTGCGTTGTGTTTACCGGTTGTATGCATCTCCTGAAAAAGCACAGTATGCATTACACATAATAGCCACTTAATCGCAATCAGGCAGCTACGTTGGCGGGCGAAAGCACGGGCGCAAACGCGGAGCACGCTAAATAAAGTTATCCAGTCGCTCTTAAAGCGGCCGAGGGACGAAGAGAAAGAACTGGAGAGAGTGTAGATAGGATTTCCGCGGGAAGAGAAGCGGCTTGCACGGCAGGGACCATTAGCCGATGCACATCGGGCCGAACGCATCGGCCGTGGATGAAAATTACGAAGCCCATAAACGATTTTGCTGGAACAGAACGAAAATCGCCGTCGGGGAATCACCGAGACGGCAGCTACTTCGAACCACCGTTACTACACGGATTATTTCGCGTTACCAGCGGCAGCCATACGTCACGATAACGAGTACAACGAGTCTGGAGAGAGTCGGATACGCTTCGAATACCTCCTCGCGTATTCGCGTCTCGATCTCGTACGCCATCAGGGTGTCCCCATGATTTACGCATCCCTGTTCCTCGGAATCAATCAGTCGTAAATCGATTGAATTTTGGACCCGATGTGTCCCAAACGTCAATTTAATTCATATTTTTATCTGTCGTTATTATATACTCCACGGATGATGTAAATTGTGTAATGATAATTCGGGGTGGTCTCGAAAGAAGGCGAGCGTAAAAGCGCGGCTCCTCTCGTGATCCATCGAGGCAGAGCCGATACGGATCGTGCGGCTATTCAACGGGCACGCTTCTCTTCCTTCGGGCCGTGTCCGTTCCGGAGCGGGCGACCTCTTGACCCAGAGGAGGACGCCGCCTGCAGGAACACCCGTGTGGATAATATATTCCGGGTGTATTCCAGGCAATTTTCGCGGGGCGGTGTTGCGTTGATTGCGGTCGTTCATCGCGGCTTCGCCTTCATTCCTCCCTCTCCTTTCCCGTTTTGCACAGCCTTCCTCTTCAAACTTTCTCCTCTTCTTCTTCGTCGTCCTCTTCTTTTACCTTTTCAGTTGCTCTGACTCTCGTCTTCTTCTTCTTCTTCTTCTTCGTCGTTTCTCTGAGTCTCCACTCGTTCGTTTTCAAGAGGTGCAGCAGTACACCGCTACACTCGCGGGTCTAATTTGCGCACAGCAGGAGCGACACGAACTAATGCACGTTGCGCACGCCGGGAGGGAATCCGTAGGATCTTTGTCTTCGCGCACTCCCGCGCTAACGCGCATCCATCATCGTGGGACCCTCGGGACGAGCCGGCTCTGTCCTTCGTCTTTTCTAGGACGTGCTTGTACGAAGGACGGGAAGAACGTTAACGAAGCTCGCCGATAGACGCTCGAAAGATGTCCGTGGACGAAACTTGGATCGACGGACAGGATTGTTCTCTCACGTAGAGGGAAAAGAATCATCGAGAACCGTTTGTGTTGTGTTAGAAATTTGTGAACGAACGCTCGTAACTGTTGGAGACAACTTAACGACCGTTCGTTTTCCCTGGCTAACGAGCTAACTATAAAACGAAGGGAATAATAAAACACGGTAGTAAATGATGCTTGGATAAACGAAAATATCGATCTTTATTAACGTTCGAATTGTAAAAAGAACACCGCTTTGTTTACCGCTTGACGAGATTGGTCAATGGCCAGGATAGCTACGGGCAAGGCTTCAGGGTCGAGGAAAGCTGGATCTTCTTTAATAACAAAATTGCGAAGGTTTTACGGGGAATAATCATCGAACAATCGTGGTCGTCCAGCAGAGTGAAATAAAAAAAGAAAAAGAAGAAGAAGAAACAATCACCTACTGAATCCTACGGGCACTTTTGCGGAACGAAACACGAGTTTCGAGAGGCTGACCAGAAGATCATGGCTCCGAGGCAGTCTACTACTATGTCAGACACTCCCGGGGTAACGCTTCATCTTCAACTTTTGAATGCTGCCTTCTCAAAGTCTGGGTAGACAGCCACCTGACTCGACAGCTCGAGGGTGCAATCATGCGCACGCGAACCCATGAAACGCTCGCGACTCGGCCATCTTACGCTCGTTCGAGCTTTGCTTCCAAACATTTGCCACTGGCACCCACCGAAAATCATTTGCTACTTTAAACGTGTATTTAACCTTTGCTCTCCTCCGATTGCTATGCACGTCGAGTAAAACTCATATTTAAATAAAAGTTTAAATATTAAATCAAAGTTTGATGTAATACGATAATGAGTAAATAAACGTTATATCAATATTCAGTTGCAATTATTTGCCTCGAGAAACCAATCATCATTTCCATACTGTTTATATTTCCAAATCTCTCCCCAATTCTCGCATCCTCCAGCTGCAAATGCATCCACCCTCGAGGGTGCAATTTGAATAAGCAAATCTAGAAAATCGAAGGCCGAGGATGTTTGCGTGACCGGTTGCGTTTAGACTTTAGACGAAGAGAAACGGCCGCGAGATCCAACATATGCCACAAGTCCGGCACGCGAACAAGTTCGCCGACATACATATGCTCTCCGTCGGGGTATCGTTGCGAATCGACGAATCGGCACGGGCATACGCGAGTTTATCGCGGGACGTGGATAAGAAAGGGTCGTTTGTCGCGTCTGGTGCTGCCAAGAGACGTCTTACTTTCGCCGATTCGCGGCCAAAGATTGTATCGGAGTGAAAGACAAAATGCAACCGATCGATCTCCGAGAGCGGCAGGCTTGCATCGCACGCGACATACTGGACGTCAACCTGGACTTTTACACCTGTGATACCGTCCATAAATATATACGTACATTTTTCGAATTCAGGCACCCAAACACCGTTCGGCTCGATTATCGTTACGATCTGATCGTCTCGTTTGCTCTTCGAACGAAGAGGAACCAGCTGCGACGAGGTCGAGAGCTCGATCCACGATTAGCCCCGGCCCAAAAAGTCGTCTGCCTTACATTCGCCACCCTTTCTCGTTAATTGACCAACGCGTTACGAAACACACCGGCATGCCACCGTCTCACGTTTTCCTTAATTCCTGAAACAAACATTTCGAATGTTTTCCCTAACGCGATGCGACGCAAGGTATAAAAGAGCAAACGAAACGTAAACGAGCTAAAGCGTTATCGATGCGCGTAATTTGCAACTAGGGCGGCTAATTATGCAACGCTGATAACGCCGATTCATTTCTTCATTCCTGTCTCCTCTTCCCCAAGCTCGCTCTTCATCAAGCTTATATATTCGAGAACGCGAATGATGAAGCAGCTGCTTGGCTGGTCGAAACGAGAGCAATCGAGCGATGCACGCACCGGACGTCGGACACACAGCTTGATCGATCGATCCGTGAATCGACGGATCGTGCAAAGGGGAACAATATTTGCCAGCGAGCAGGATAAGGCATTACACCGAGGACCGGGCACGCGGTAATTAATTACATCGTCCCGAAGGAAAATGAATTGCTGCTCGCGGCAATAACAGCGGTTAATGCGGCAACAATTATTGATGATGCCGCAATAAGTGCTGCATGTCGAAACGGTAATTCATCCCAAGATTAATAATTGATCATGGATTGATTTTAATCTAAATGTTCTTCTAAACGGCCCACTTAATATCCTCATCAGTGCTCTGTCCGCCAGGGCACCGGAAACGAAATCCAGCTGGCTTCGTTACGTACCTTCGACTTACATGCTGCCATAAAATTGCATCGTCTAAAAAATTTAGACTATTTTTAAACAAAGGGACAGTAACTAATTAAGATAATGACTACATAATATTCTGACTAATCAAGAATAGTTTCATTTAACTGCCTAAGGGTATGAATTTTTAGGACAACCCAATATAAAAATATTGATCCAAGTAACAAACCTGCTGCCCACGCTGCAAGTATTCGAACATGGACCAAAGCCGCGTGTGAGCCGCTAATTAATACGTGAAAGTCACATAACCCGTGGGCAGGAAGATCCCGCGTTGATAAAGCGTCATGATTAAGACAGGAACGGTTTCCCGAGAAAAATTCGATGCCAGAACACAGACGAGGAAGACGCAGTTTCAGAAATATACGTTTATGGTGTCTCGGGGACGGGAACAATCCTACGCGTCAGATTAGATCTAGCGTCGAATTATGGAAGATCTTGGACCGAGAGCTTCCGTCTGCTGGATACGATACGGTGCATTCTTTCCTCCACCGTCTCTCCAATTACTGGCCTTTGACATTAATTTGTCGACCGGCTGACCAACGACGGCAGCTCGCTGCCGCGTCACGGTGAGAAGAGAAGTCTAATCGTTCCTTTAACCAAGAAATGGAGATGTCCGTGGTCCATGGTTAAATGCGACTGCACTTCGTCATCGTCCTCGGTCAAAGACCAAAGTATTCTTTCTCGATTAAACGGACAGTGATTTCCACGCGAACCGTTCGTGCGTTATCCTCGAGAAACGTTCCTCGGTGACGAGTTCGTCGGTAAATCCCCGGATGATGTACGAGCGAGGCACGCTTTCCTCGCAACGAGGTCGACTTTTACCGAGAAACTCGGATTTCGTCTGAAAATAGCTCGACAAAAGAGTTCTCGTTCGATTTGCGAAGGATACTGCTTTCTATCGTTATCTAGTTTCACATCAATGCATCCTCGAAATCTTCAACGATTTATCTACAATGTATTGATCGATCAGATACGTAGTTCGTGAAGAAAAAATTAATCTAACGAACAGTTGCGGTAGCGAATGTGTTTTGTTAAGCAAACCACGAAGGAAGGATAAAAAGAGGAATGGATCGAACCAAGAGGAATGTGTTGATGATAGAAACCACGATTGCGAACATACGAAAGAAATATAATAACTATTCATCAAAAGGTGATTATTTCGTAAAATGTGTTTGCAACAGGTTGCAAATTTTAATAAACACTCCTATGAAAAAATTTCCAAACTATGTAAATTGACACAGAAGAATATATTTCGCGTGAAATGGTTTTGAAAAACCTTGCTCTAAACAAAGGGAATAGAAGGGCCATTAGAGGCAAGAGATTCTACAGTCCAAGGCAGTACAATAAAGAGTTTTAAGAATAAAACGGCCACA